TGGGCAGTCGTGTATTGCAAAGCTGAAATCTATAAAAAGCAAATGAGTGTCCTTGGAGCAAATGAGCCATTAGATGAGAAAATGAACGCATATTTAACCTGCAGAGTGGACTCTGGAAGAGCAGGGAGTTTTATGGGTTTAGAACGTTGGTTTTTGAATTTGTGATAAATGACTTCTAAATCAGATTTTTTTCACTTTCTCTCTGCAGCTCCAAAAGTCATCTCCTTCTCCTTTAACGTTGGAAACGGACCGGCAGAGCTAACGGTCCACTCTGCCACACCCCTCAAGATGATGATTATCTGACACATGATCTGACACATGATTATCTGACAGATCATGATTGTTTCAGAAGTTATTGTTTCGATTTGCCCTGTACAACATCAGGAAGATCAGACCTTACCTGTCAGAACATGCTACACAGCTCCTGGTACAGGCTCTTGTGATATCACGCATCAACTATTGCAACTCTCTACTGGCAGGTCTTCCTACACGCACTATCAAACCCCTGCAAATGATACAAATGCAGCAGCACGACTGGTCTTCAACCTTCCTAAAAGAGCACATGTCACTCCGCTGTTCATCTCATTACACTGGCTCCCAGTAACTGCTCGCATCAAATTTAAAACTCTGCTGCTCGCTTACAAAACAGCAACAAAAACGGCTCCTCCTTACTTTAACTCTCTCATCCAGGTCTACACTCCCTCCCGCCCACTACGCTCTGCCAATGAAAGGCGTCTGATCCAACCTTCACAACAGGGTCCTAAGTCTCTGACTAGACTCTTCTCCTCTGTCCCCCCCAGTGGTGGAATGAACTTCCAAACTCCATTTGATCTGCAGAGTCCCTCAGCACCTTTAAGAAAAAGCTAAAGACCCAGCTCTTTCATGAATACCTAATAACTTAATGATGATGGTCTCCATATTATTGATGATGATGATGGTAATGACGATGGTTTTTGTTTGATAACGATGACTTATAAGATGGTTTCTATGCTGATTAGAGCTCTCAAGAACTATTGTTCCCTTTTTTCGAGATCCTTGCTTGTGTTGTTCTTACTCTCTGATGTACGTTGCTTTGGATAAAAGCGTTTGCTAAGTGAATTGTAGAATTGTATTAGATGGAGCAGCTTTTACAACAGCCAATTGACTCATGTTATGATGTACACAAATGAGAACACACACACACCTCCTCAGAAACGTATGTGACTCACTGAGGGCGTGTGACTAAAGCTCATTAAGTTCCTATGTAGAGGTAATTTCTCTGATATGCTCGGCGCTTATATTTATCTAGATCAAGAAAGTATTATTGCAAAGGAGGATAGCAACCGTTTGATGTTCTCTTTTCCCCCACACACACATTCTGTATCAGCTATCAAGCACTTATTAACACACTTATTATACTGTACCAAGGGTTTGTCCTTCAAAGCTCCCTTATCTCCTCTAAAGGCTCATGAGAAGTTCAAACTTCAGAAGATCTGTCCACCTTTCTCCCTTTGCTTTCTTTTCTCAGTCTCTTCTTCCTTATGTGCTGAGCCGTCAGTAATCTCCAAACCAAACTCTGCTGTTAAAATATGTTTCAGGGTTTTTGGGGTAGAAAGGAAAGTGCTGAGGCAGATCACGAAGCTCCAAATGGAAAGAAAATTAAAATATATATTCAAAGAGGATTGTTCCAAATTCCAATCAGGCTCCCCGATGTGATAGCCTTCCCCTCCCTGATCCCCATATATAATATCATTTCATTGACTTATTGCTTTTGCTGATTCGAACATCCCCACCTCATCATGTTACAATATGGCTCTCGATGTATTTTAGCTTTCATTTAGTGAAATGGAACAGGGCGAAAAAGATTGCGTCATTGTACGACTGACTTGCAGTTATGGAACATGGCAGTGACTCAGGCTGTCACCTCATTTTTGCGAATGCTGGCTCTGTGATCAAATGAAGACAGACACGTACACTGTATGTATGTAACAGTAATCTACAAACACAGGAGATAGTGGAAGATATGAAACACTTGAATGTAACAGCCACAGAGGTGACAGCAACCTCTTATATCTGATCTCTAATCCTGTCCTAATCTTCAATGTTTGAGAAGTACAACAGTATTACTCTCAAGAAGTGAACCACCAGGGAGAGTGAAGTAAAAGGAAGTGGTTCAAATCTGGTCCTTCTGACATCTAGAAAGATAAGAGATCTTTTCATTTTTGATCGACAGATTTGGAAAAAGCAGGGAGATCCTACCTGAAACATCCTCTTCCACTTCACACACTGTCTCTGTCTGATATAGATTGAGCAGTTGATGTAGAAAATCAATCGATTACAGAGTTATGATAATGATATAAGTGATCTGTTTGTAGGGTTTCACATAAACTCACAGCAGGGCAGTACAACAGGGAGCTTTATGTTGCTGCTCCTTGTTCTCATATCCGTCTCTGTATCGTCTCCTTCTCCCTTTCTCGATCAATATGCTCCTCATCAAGCGTTTGATTGCTTTAGTGTTTACTGCACAGTGGCTCATTTGCTCTAATGGCCCTGAGAGTAAATGTTATACCATCAGCCTGCTGTCGTTTACCTCCCACTGTTCACTTTGAGCTCTGCAGGTCACTTCATACATGCTCATAAACTACCGATCATGTCACATTTTATTTTTTTAATTTCACAATCCGTTCTTTTGATTTCTCTTTTTAATTCATGCTCATGAACACATTTTTTATGATTTTTCATGTTTTTTAATTTTCTCATATTTTGATTTTTTTGTCTTTCTTTTTTTGTTTGCCTCTTTCTTTATGTATCGTCATCTTGCTCGTTGCTATTCACTGCATGTTTGGACACCTGACACAGGGATGCCGGCCACACCAAGACAGTAGGTAACTGGTGTAGCTGAAGTTCACTGGATAACCTTAAATCCTGCTCTGAATAGGGTACCCTCCTGGTCTTTTCCATATTAACATACAGGTGCTCTTTGGATACTTAGTATTTTGGGGAATTTGAGTGTAATGTTAGGTCAGGCTTTGAAAACAGTCCACATACATCATATCTATCAATACGCCAGTAAAGAAGCCCCGACAGTACAGTTAGAGGAGACTGTAGACTATCAAAGCCCAGAACAGCATTTGGCCAGTCGTCCTTCTCCCATCAGAAATAAAAAAACATTAACTGACTCCAGCTTATTTTACTTCTTTTTTTTTCTTTTTGTTTATTCAAAGACATATTATAAGCCTGTTTGGCTACTATTGAAAAAGTAAAACAAATAATAATTAAAACCGCAAGCGGTGATGAAGGGCCCTCGCACCCCTGTGCATGTCGGGGTGTGTCACGACCGCAGAAGTCCATCTGCAGCTTAACGTGGCTAAGCAGCAGGCCGTGCAGTTTGATTTGTGTAAAAGTCGTAGTACTGGCATGTTGAAATAGGCAACGTAATGAAAATCTCGTAAAATTTTGACGTAGAGAAGTTCAGGCTGGCACTGTCATGATAGCTATGACATTTGGAGGAAATTGAGCATTGTATATAGGATGTAGTACTTACTCTTTGCAGTAGGGGGCGCAATTGTTGAAGTTGACTATTGTTATGGTAATGTATTCAGAGGACAACCCTGATCATACAAGTGAAATTTCAATCAGATCAGACAAAGTATCTGAGATGCAGTACCGCCTTTTTCCAATGGGGGTGCTATGTTAATGGCATAATTGTATGAGGTTAGATGTGATCAGGCCAGTACTGACATTGTTCATGTGAAATTTGGTGAAAATCTTACATCGTATATGGGAGGTAGTACTTATTCTTTGCAGTAGGTGGCACTATGGTTAAACTTTATTATTGTTTTGTCATTGTGTCCAGAGGTCAACCCTGAACATACCTGAGAAATTTCAAAAAGATCAGACAAAGTATATAAGATGTAGTACTTACTCCTTGCAGTAGGGGGCGCTATGATTAAAGTAAATGATTGTTATGTCAATGTCTTCAGAGGCCAACCCTGATAATACCTGGGAATTTTTAAGCAGTATGTACGATGTAGTGCTTAGTCCTTGCAGTAGGGGGCACTATGGTTAAAGTTGACTATTGTGATGTGAATGTGTTCAGAGGCCAACCCTGATCATACCTGGGAAATTTTAAACAGATCCGAGAAAGTATGTATGATGTAGTACTTAGTCCTTGCATTAGGGGGCGCTATGGTTAAACTTTATTATTATTGTTTTGTGTCACTGTGTTCAGAGGCCAATCCTGATCATACCTATGTAATTTCAAGAAGATCAGACAAAGTATATAAGAGTTACAGCCACTTCCTGTTTGATGGCGATGTGATTTGTGATTTGTGATTTGTGATTTGTGTCCGTATGGCGACAGCGTTGGAAGTAGGCGTTTGAGCTTGAAAGTATTGTATGGCCAAGGTGTTAGCATGGTCCACACCAATTTTGAGGGGAAAATGAGCTACCGTGTAGCAATGGCTAATGCTAATTGAGAAGCAGTAACTTCCTGTTGTCAACAGGTGGCGCTGTGACTAATCAAAAAATGTCAAACCTGAATGTGTTCAGGGCGGGCCCCGTATCATGCATGAGAAATTTTAATATGATTGAACACTAGATGGCAAAGATATAAGTATTTACTTTTTTGGCAACTTGCCAAAATGCATTTCAAACTTTGAACGCACGCAACAGCCACGTCCTTTGACCAAATAACATGCAGCACACAAGGAGATATGTTGAGCCTGTCTAGAACGCACTGACACTGAGTTTGTGCCGATCGGATGAGCGCTTTCGGACAAGTGCGTTCAAATAGGAAGGCTGAAATCGGTGATTTGGGCCATTATTGTGAAATTCAACTCTAATTTGTGGACTTCCTGTGGGGTTTTTTGAAACGCCGCAAGAGGATTTTTGAAAATTTCAAGGGGGCGCCACTGAGCCATTTTGCGAACTCCATTTACGAAACCACCAAAATATCAAATTTTTCACGAGACCTGATGACCGTGGAAAATTTGTTGAGTTTGTCTGGCCTCATTTTGAAGATGAACTTAAAGGTCATGACACAGTCTCAGCTGTAGCAGAAAGGACAGAGAGGCAGAGAGAGCTCGAGGTGAGTCGACAAAACATCCAGCAGAGAATCCAGGACAGAGAGAAAGATGTGAAACTGCTTCAACAGGAGGTGGAGGCTATCAGTGGCTCCGCTGATAAAACAGTGGGGAACAGTGAGAAGATCTTCACTGAGCTGATCCGTCTCATGGAGAAAAGACGCTCTGATGTGAAGCAGCAGGTCAGATCCCAGCAGCAAACTGAAGTGAGTCGAGTCAGAGAGCTTCAGCAGAAGCTGGAGCAGGAGATTACTGAGCTGAAGAGGAAAGATGCTGAGATGAATAAGCTGTCACACACACAGGATCACAACCAGTTTCTACACAACTACCCCTCACTGTCACCACTCAGTGAATTTACACACTCATCCAGCATCACGATCCGTCCTCTGAGGTTCTTTGAGGATGTGACAGCGGCTGTGTCAGAAGTCAGAGATAAACTACAGGACGTCCTGAGAGAGAAGGGGACTAACATCTCACAGACAGTGACTGAAGTGGATGTTTTACTGTCAGAACCAGAGTACATGACCAGAGCTGAGTTCTTAAAATATTCATGTGACATCACACTGGATCCAAACACAGCATACACACGGTTGATATTATCTGATGAGAACAGAAAAGTAACAGTAATGAGTGAAAAACAGTCTTATTCTAGTCACCCAGACAGATTCACTTATTGGTTTCAGGTCCTGAGTAAAGAAAGTCTGACTGGACGTTGTTACTGGGAGGTGGAGTTGAGAGGAGAAGTTTCTGTAGCAGTCACATACAAGAATATCAGCAGAGCAGGGAGCTCTGATGAATGTTTGTTTGGATGTAATGACAAATCTTGGATGTTAGATTGTTACAGCAACAGTTATGATTTTTGTTACAACAATGTTAGCACTCCTGTCTCAGGTCCTTGGTCCTCCAGAGTAGGAGTGTACCTGGATCACAGAGCAGGTATTCTGTCCTTCTACAGCATCTCTGAAACCATGACTCTCCTCCACAGAGTCCAGACCACATTCACTCAGCCTCTACATGCTGGACTGGGGTTTAACTGGTCTCCTGGAGACTGTGCTGAGTTGTGAAAACTGAAATAGACACAAGTCATTAATGAGACAGATGTTTAACTTGTTGTGTTTTAAATCTTCAACTTGATTCATGCTCGTTGCTGAGATCTGATCATCGTCACCTGTCAATCAAACTTTATGGGCGGTACTTTGACCTTGTCTGGTCTGTTGTGTAAATTATGCCTTTTTTTGTTGTATTGGCCATTTTGTCACCTCTGAAGACGATTAAACTGCTGCTCTAAATCTGAATTTGACTTGTGTTGCTGGCTTTCTTTGGGAGTGGGAAGAGTGGGGTTCACTCATCATGTTGTGTTCAGGTTATTTATAATAATGATAATAGATGTAAGGCTGATATTAGAGAGGACATATTATACCCCTTTTCTACCTTTTCAAACAGTCCCCTGTGGTTCAAATGAAATTTATGTGCTGTGCTTTGGTCAAAATATAACATGAATCAAGCACCAGAGGAGGTTTGTGACCCTCTTAGAACGATCCGTTTTGGTGTGTGTTTCTGTGATAGTTTTAAGCCTACTCTTAAAGGTACAAAATTTACTTCACTACGTCTTCAGCGTGAACCTGAGTCTTCAGAGGGTCCCTGTGCTGTGGAAGATGTTCTGCATCGTTCCTGTCCCGAAGATGCCGCACCCCAGCGATGCTAAGGACTACAGACTGGTGGCACTGATGTCCCACATCATGAAAACTCTGGGGCTCAGGCCGATAGTCAGGCACCAATCAGATCCTTTCCAGTTCGCCTACCAGCCCCAACTGGGAGTGGAGGATGCCATCATATTCCTGCTCAACCGCGTCTATGCTCACCTGGACAAGCCGGACAGCACTGTGAGGGTTATGTTTTTTGGCTTCTTCAGTTCTATCGACACCATCCATTCGGCTCTACTGGGTGAGAAAATGACAACAGTGCAGGTGGATGCTCCCCTCGTGTCCTGGAGTGTTGACTACCTGACTGGAAGACCACATTATGTTTGCCTTACACACTGTGTGTCGGACAGAGTGGTCAGCAAGACTGGGGTCCCATAGGGGACGTTCCTGTCTCCATTTCACTTCACCCTCTACACCACAGACTTCATCATCAACACAGAGTCCTGCCACCTTCAGAAGTTTACAGGGCAGTTGTGGGTGACTTTGTTACATGGTGTGAGCAGAACCATCTCCAGTTCATCGTGACAAAGACAAAGGAATTAGTGATGGATCTGAGGAGGAAAAAGGCACTGGTGACCCATGTTTCCATTCAGGGGGTCAGTGTAGACATTGTGGAGGACTGCAAGTACCTGGGAGTGAACTTAGACAATAAACTGGACTGGTCTAAGAAGACGGAGGCCATCTGCAAGAAGGGCCTGAGCCACCTCTACTTCCTCAGGAGGCTGTGGTCCTTTAACATCTGCAGGATGTTGTTTGCTGAGTCTGTGGTGGCCAGTGCTATCCTGTTTGCTGTTGTGTGCTGGGGCAGCAGGTTGAGGGTAGCGGACTCCAACAGACTCAATAAACTGATCCACAGGGCCAGCGACATTGTGAGGGTGGAGCTGGACTCTCTGACGGCGGTGTCAGAGAGGAGGATGCTGTCTAAGTTGCGTTGCATCTTGGACAATGTCTCACCCACTCCATGGCATGCTAGCAAAACGCAGGAGCACTTTCAGTGCAAGACTCATCCCCCCACGATGCACCACTGAACGCCACACAGAAGGTCAGTCCAGCCTGTGGCCATCAGACTCTACAACTCCTCCCTTTGAGAGTCACACACTGAGTCCGAAAATTTGTATCACATGACCTGTCAGTTGACCTCAGGGGTTGTATATATGTGGAGTTGTGTCTCCTCACTTGTTCATGTCCGATGAAGGGCGAGGGCCCGAAACGTTACATGTGGTGATCATTCCCATTAAATGTTAAGTGGAGCAGCTTCTGGTGTGCGGACTTAGTCTTCCTCTGTCTTTAAGAGCGACTGTAATAACTAGATTTCCCCGTGATTAAAAAAGTGTTTCTGATTCTGAGTACATGTCTGCCTCACAGACCCTGACTGGTGGATGATTCCAAAGTATAGGGGCCTGATATCATACCACTTGCTTCTACTTGGATATCAGGACCACGTCAGGCATGAGGGTGGTAACAGCTATAATGTCCGGGAACCTCAGCTGTCTCCAGGGTAACTACGAGCCCGAAGCCCGGTCAATGTCTGTGATTGGTCAAATGTTGCCAACTCAACTCCATTGATGTCACGGCTGTCATGGAAACCCTCTGTTTATGTATTACTCTGTTTTCCCTTTTTATAACGTGATGTTTTAAATGTTTTTATGATTATCATTTGTCTTGATAATTTAAATAGTGTCCTTGCTCAAGTCCAACTATAATTACTGTTTGTTGTTTATGAGACACACCCTGTCTCTTTAAAAAGCTTCTCTTTGTGGAATGCAGTCAAACCTGAACATCCATCCTTCTGTCAGTGACCTCCACCCGATGAAACTATTTCCCTCTTCCCTCCCCGTCACAGACCTTCAGGTATGACAATGGGTGTGAACTATATACTGTGAATTACTGGAACTGAAAAACCTCATTCACTGCAGCAAGTCAACAAGAGCAGACGTTTGTTGTCCATCAGAGCTCTGAGTGTGTTTCTGTCCAGAGAAAGAGGAACTATTTGACGGTCACGACCACTGAGAGGAAAAATGGCTCAGCGAGGAAACCAGCTGGACTGCGAGAAAATCTGCTGTCCCATCTGTCTGGATTTCTTGAAGGATCCGGTGACTACTTCCTGTGGACACAGCTACTGCATGAAGTGTATTAAAAGCCATTGGGATACAGAGGATGAGAAGAAAGTCTACACTTGCCCTCAGTGCAGACAGGACTTTATACCGAGGCCTGACCTGAGGAAAAACACCATGTTAGCAGATTTAGTGGAGGAGCTGAAGAAGACTGGACTCCAAGCTGCTCATGCTGATCACTGCTATGCTGGACCAGAAGTTGTGGCCTGTGATGTCTGCACCGGGAGGAAACTGAAGGCCCAAAAGACCTGTCTGGTCTGTTTGATCTCATTTTGTGAGAAACATCTTCAGCCTCATTATGAAATACCTGCTTATTCAAAACACAAGCTGGTGGTGCCCTCCAAGAAGCTTCAGGAGAACGTCTGCTCTCGTCATGATGAGGTGATGAAGATGTTCTGTCGTACTGATCAGCAGTCTATCTGTTATGTCCGCCCTGTGGATGAACTTAAAGGTCATGACACAGTCTCAGCTGCAGCAGAAAGGACAGAGAGGCAGAGAGAGCTCGAGGTGAGTCGACAAAACATCCAGCAGAGAATCCAGGACAGAGAGAAAGATGTGAAACTGCTTCAACAGGAGGTGGAGGCTATCAATGGCTCCGCTGATAAAACAGTGGGGAACAGTGAGAAGATCTTCACTGAGCTGATCCGTCTCATGGAGAAAAGACGCTCTGATGTGAAGCAGCAGGTCAGATCCCAGCAGCAAACTGAAGTGAGTCGAGTCAGAGAGCTTCAGGAGAAGCTGGAGCAGGAGATCACTGAGCTGAAGAGGAAAGATGCTGAACTGGAGAAGCTCTCGCACACAGAAGATCACAACCAGTTTCTACACAACTACCCCTCACTGTCACCACTCAGTAAATCTACACACTCATCCAGCATCAAGATCCGTCCTCTGAGGTACTTTGAGGATGTGACAGCGGCTGTGTCAGAAGTCAGAGATAAACTACAGGACGTCCTGAGAGAGAAATGGACAAACATCTCACAGACAGTGACTGAAGTGGATGTTTTACTGTCAGGACCAGAGCCCAAGACCAGAGCTGAGTTCTTAAAATATTCATGTGACATCACACTGGATCCAAACACAGCACACATAGGGCTGTTATTATCTGATGGGAACAGAAAATTAACATCAATGAGTAAACATCAGTCTTATTCTAGTCACCCAGACAGATTCACTAATTACCGGCAGGTCCTGAGTAAAGAAAGTCTGACTGGACGTTGTTACTGGGAGGTGGAGTTGAGAGGAAGAGGAGTTTGTGTAGCAGTCACATACAAGAATATTAGCAGAGCAGGGAGGTCAGATGAATGTGGTTTTGGACGTAATGACAAATCCTGGGAGTTAGATTGTGATAAAAACAGTTATAAGTTCTGGTACAACAAAGTCCAAACTCTTATCTCAGGTCCTCAGTCCTCCAGAGTAGGAGTGTACCTGGATCACAGAGCAGGTATTCTGTCCTTCTACAGCATCTCTAAAACCATGACTCTCCTCCACAGAGTCCAGACCACATTCACTCAGCCTCTACATGCTGGACTCGGGTTCAATTATGTTGGAGCCACTGCTGAGTTGTGTAAACTGAAATAGACAGAAGTTATTAACGAGACAGATGTTTAACTTGTTGTGTTTTAAATCTTCAACTTGATTTTTATTCATGCTTGTTGCTGAGATCTGATCATCGTCACCTGTCAATCAAACAGGCGTCTACTCGTCTGTTCTGTAAATTTTTGAGTGTCTTTAAGTGACACTCCTTTCTGTGTAAGACATGTTAATACTGTGAACTTTAACAGCAGCGTAGGAGTGAGTAGCCTTTTTGTTTGTTCCTTTGTTTTCTTCTCTTCATGTGTTTAGGAGCTCAGGTAAGAAAACTGTCATTTTTTTGTTTTCTGTCAGGGAAGATTAGGGATTTGATTAGATACATTCTGTTTGTTGTTTTGTCCGTTTTCTCATCTCTGAAGAGGATTAAACTGCTGCTCTAAATCTGAATCTGACTTGTGTTGCTGGCTTTCTTGGGGAGTGAGAAGAGTGGGAGTCACTCATCATCATGTTGTGTTCAGGTTCCTCTAGACCAGGGACATAACACTCCTCACTGAAACAGCTTTGTCTCTGAGGAATGGGCAGAGCTTTGCTTTCCTATATTTCCCATGTGACCTGAATGCATCATCAGAGTTAAAGGTTGCTGTGACTTGTGTGAACAAAGTGACATAATGTGATATACCAGATATTTTAATCTGTCTTTGGGTTATTGACAAAACAGGGGTAAAGAAATATTTTTTTTTTATGTACAAAAATTATACAAATTAATGTTGAGTGAAGTC